TTTACCATGAAGAAAGTCTTCTTAATGGTATCTTCAAGTCATGGCCTGAAGTGTTTTTTGGTGCTGTGGAAGGGGCTTTAAATATGATCCATGGAGAAGGCGGCAATGTAGAAGTAATTGCTGACATAGATGTTGACTCTGTAGGATCTGCTTCTGTTGCATTTAGTTTCTTTTTGAAACGGGCACCTTTCTATGTGCTATTTCCAGCTTTTGTAAACACTGGTGGCACGCACTTGTTAGAGCACTCAAAATTCCAAAATTTGCTTATATGTAAACTCTCTGAAGGGACAACTGATCAATTTGTTTCCTCTTTTAGAATTGTGCTCTTTTGGATCCATCAGATACAATCATCTTATAGAAGCAAGCCATTGGACAAACTTGAACAGATTTCTGAAGTGTGCTTTATTCTCATACACCGCATGCTGGCACAATTATTGGTTCAAAAAAATGATTCTGACTGTTTAGCAATCAATTCAACTGAATGTGTTCAACAAGTGGCTGAAATCGTTTTCCGCCATCCAGTGTTGACAGCATCCTTGGAATGCCCTTTGCAGGGTAGTGAGAAATTTGCAGATGAAATTTTTGGGCAAAGTGTGGAGAAGTTTCTTGCCATAGCCAGTCAGGGAATACACAGAATGGATCATCATGTCTTGAATATGTTAGCAATAACTTCTGATCACTTATTTGCTTTATGCAATGGTCAAGAATTTCTACGTCAAGTTGGCTGTGCAAATAAACAGTTTGTAAAGGCATATAAAGTCCTTGAACAGAAGCTTTTTCTGATATTCAGGGACAGGTTTGATCAGTGCATAAATGCTGAAGATTTCATGCCCCTTATCCCAACATTAGTTGCTTTGCAAACTTTGATTCGCTTCATATCCCCCTTTAAGCTTCGTGAATTAGTTCAATGGATGTTCGTTAAAGTTGATCTCAATGACTCCTCGGTTTGGGTATCTTCCAAAAGTTCTGCTCTCTCCGTTGCATTATTTATTACGGGTTGTGCTTTTGATTTGCTATCAGTATATTTGCGTCAGACAAATACAAAACAAACAGCATTCGATTTTTTCTGGGGAATAGAAGAGGAAAATTTTGATGTTACCTGGTTTGAGAGAGTTTACAATCAAGTATGTGAGATTGCCACATGTTATGAACTGCATGCTGCAGATCTATGTTTGCTGAAAGCTGTTAGTGTTGCAAGCACACGTAATGTTAAGCAAAATAGGATTCTTCCACTATGTATGGCTATGTCGAGGGTCATAACAAACACTCCGTTGAAATTGCTTTGTCATTGCATCCACAGGACAAGCATGACTAAATCCAAACTACTGTTCTCTCTTACTGAAATGAGTTCCCTGCATCTGTCTGTCTTTGGAAACTTATNCAGGTTTGATCAGTGCATAAATGCTGAAGATTTCATGCCCCTTATCCCAACATTAGTTGCTTTGCAAACTTTGATTCGCTTCATATCCCCCTTTAAGCTTCGTGAATTAGTTCAATGGATGTTCGTTAAAGTTGATCTCAATGACTCCTCGGTTTGGGTATCTTCCAAAAGTTCTGCTCTCTCCGTTGCATTATTTATTACGGGTTGTGCTTTTGATTTGCTATCAGTATATTTGCGTCAGACAAATACAAAACAAACAGCATTCGATTTTTTCTGGGGAATAGAAGAGGAAAATTTTGATGTTACCTGGTTTGAGAGAGTTTACAATCAAGTATGTGAGATTGCCACATGTTATGAACTGCATGCTGCAGATCTATGTTTGCTGAAAGCTGTTAGTGTTGCAAGCACACGTAATGTTAGGCAAAATAGGATTCTTCCACTATGTATGGCTATGTCGAGGGTCATAACAAACACTCCGTTGAAATTGCTTTGTCATTGCATCCACAGGACAAGCATGACTAAATCCAAACTACTGTTCTCTCTTACTGAAATGAGTTCCCTGCATCTGTCTGTCTTTGGAAACTTATTTTCAGATATGATCAATAGATCTTTGGTTCCCTCGAGCAATCTGANTGTAGTTGATGCTTCTGGTGACCTTTGTGAGTGGAAACCATTGAAGAATTTATTGCTGTTCTCAGAGAGTGTAGCAAAACGACAATCTTGTAGCATTTCTTCAACTGATAGGAAATTGGTGGGAGCTGACAATTCTTTTATCCATTCCCTTTGTGAAGTTAAGAGAGTTTTAAGGAGTGGGGATGGTGAACGCCAAGGATTGACTGAAATATCAACAGCATTTTTGTTTTCAATGCTATGCACAACAGCTATAGAGATAATAGATAACTTCCCATCTGTTATATCTATTTCACAGCACTTACTTGGAGTTCCTTTTTCGCTATTGCTCTCTGTATTTTACCATGAAGAAAGTCTTCTTAATGGTATCTTCAAGTCATGGCCTGAAGTGTTTTTTGGTGCTGTGGAAGGGGCTTTAAATATGATCCATGGAGAAGGCGGCAATGTAGAAGTAATTGCTGACATAGATGTTGACTCTGTAGGATCTGCTTCTGTTGCATTTAGTTTCTTTTTGAAACGGGCACCTTTCTATGTGCTATTTCCAGCTTTTGTAAACACTGGTGGCACGCACTTGTTAGAGCACTCAAAATTCCAAAATTTGCTTATATGTAAACTCTCTGAAGGGACAACTGATCAATTTGTTTCCTCTTTTAGAATTGTGCTCTTTTGGATCCATCAGATACAATCATCTTATAGAAGCAAGCCATTGGACAAACTTGAACAGATTTCTGAAGTGTGCTTTATTCTCATACACCGCATGCTGGCACAATTATTGGTTCAAAAAAATGATTCTGACTGTTTAGCAATCAATTCAACTGAATGTGTTCAACAAGTGGCCGAAATCGTTTTCCGCCATCCAGTGTTGACAGCATCCTTGGAATGCCCTTTGCAGGGTAGTGAGAAATTTGCAGATGAAATTTTTGGGCAAAGTGTGGAGAAGTTTCTTGCCATAGCCAGTCAGGGAATACACAGAATGGATCATCATGTCTTGAATATGTTAGCAATAACTTCTGATCACTTATTTGCTTTATGCAATGGTCAAGAATTTCTACGTCAAGTTGGCTGTGCAAATAAACAGTTTGTAAAGGCATATAAAGTCCTTGAACAGAAGCTTTTTCTGATATTCAGGGACAGGTTTGATCAGTGCATAAATGCTGAAGATTTCATGCCCCTTATCCCAACATTAGTTGCTTTGCAAACTTTGATTCGCTTCATATCCCCCTTTAAGCTTCGTGAATTAGTTCAATGGATGTTCGTTAAAGTTGATCTCAATGACTCCTCGGTTTGGGTATCTTCCAAAAGTTCTGCTCTCTCCGTTGCATTATTTATTACGGGTTGTGCTTTTGATTTGCTATCAGTATATTTGCGTCAGACAAATACAAAACAAACAGCATTCGATTTTTTCTGGGGAATAGAAGAGGAAAATTTTGATGTTACCTGGTTTGAGAGAGTTTACAATCAAGTATGTGAGATTGCCACATGTTATGAACTGCATGCTGCAGATCTATGTTTGCTGAAAGCTGTTAGTGTTGCAAGCACACGTAATGTTAAGCAAAATAGGATTCTTCCACTATGTATGGCTATGTCGAGGGTCATAACAAACACTCCGTTGAAATTGCTTTGTCATTGCATCCACAGGACAAGCATGACTAAATCCAAACTACTGTTCTCTCTTACTGAAATGAGTTCCCTGCATCTGTCTGTCTTTGGAAACTTATTTTCAGATATGATCAATAGATCTTTGGTTCCCTCGAGCAATCTGGTGCAAGAAAAATGTAGTCATACTCCTTTAGATGAGGACTTTATTATGCTTCTGCCTATTGCTTTGTCCTACTTAAAATCAACTTCTTTGAAATTTGGGAAGCAGTTCTGCAAACACTTGAGAGACATACCTTTTTCCTACTGGAGGATCCTCTCATGTAGTTTTTCTCAATGGAAGAGCTATGTTTCTGGGGACATTTTTCAAGTAGAGTGTTGTGAATTCTTGCCTTCGTCTGTAGAGGAACTTCTCAATCTTGTCCATGACAGTCTTTTGGGGAAAGCAATTCTGATGCTGCAGTACTTTTTTTCTGTAAGCGGGTGTTCTGTGAAACTCAAGAAGCGGTTGAGGCTATTTGATTGTGTTTGTCCATGTTCTGGTGCAAATGACGATTTGCTGGACTGCAATTCTAGTGAAATTGATGTTTATTCACTTGTTCAGTTTCTAAACCTAATAGTTAGAACTGTTGCAAAAATACAGTTTTGTAGACTGCTGTTATTTCCCTATGATAGTGAGATTGACTTTTTGCCAAAGGAAGGAGATAGGGATACGAAGGAGATTCCTTTGGAAGTGGGATCCAAAAAAGAGTACTTGTCAAGAATCGGATTTATAAGCATATTGGTGAGCACATGGCAAGTGATTGTCAAGAAATTTCCTTCAAACTCCGACAACTCCAGTGATGTAGGGGACACAAAATCTTCCTTGTTCAGATTTTTGGAAGTCTTTCTGTTGAGAAATATTCTGGAATTAACGGCAAATATGCGTGACTGTCTTGTGAAATTGCATTCTCTCCCCTGCATAGAACAACTTGCACAGTCTACTTTTCTTTACAGATTTGAGGACCATGCAACACTGGAGGTTCTCCGAAGTGTACTGGCGTTGCTATCTGAAGGGAAATTCTCTCTTTCTGTAGTTCTTCAGCTGCTTCTTGCCCACTCTCAGTTTGCACCTACTATTTCTTCTGCCTTGAAATCATCCGGTTTTTCTCAAAGTGGTGTGATTTTTAGGCCTATGTCCAGCTTTCTAAGAGCACTTATTCTTCCTGATACTGAGCAAAATGACCATGATGGAAAGAATCTTCTGCAAAGATCTGAGCTGTATAGGAAACAGTTGGAACTTGTGAAGTTGCTTAGGATACTCTTTCGGTTCAAAGCTCGGCAGTGTGGTTTTGATTCTGAAAAGGAAATCGGAATAAATTCTAGGGAATTGCTTTTCTTGCTTTTGTCATCGTATAGTGCGACTCTTGGTGAGCTTGACTTGGAAATATACAATCTTATGCATGAAATTGAGATTGCTGATGAATCAAACTCTGGTAGTATTGATGAAATGGATTTCCTTTGGGGAAGTGCTGCTATAAACATTAGAAAGGAACGGGAAAAAGAGCAAGATATGTCTTGTGATAAAATTAATGATATTGAAGCAGCCAAAGAATGCCGAAGAAGTCAATTTAGAGAAAATCTTCCCATTAACCCGAAATTGTGTGCATATACAGTGCTTTGTTTTCCTTATTATAGAACCGTTGGTGAGGGAATTTTATCCTCGAACAAGCTTCACCAAGATAATTCTGAGCACATGGTTGAGGTACAAACTACTGTATAACTTTTCAGCTACTGTTTTTATTGGGCGTTTATTACGATTTATGTCCCAAGCTGGATTCTTTAGTACTAAATTCAAATTATTCTATGCAGGCACGTTCTGCTACTGCAAGTTCTGCAAATGTTGAGAAGATACAAATATATGATCCTGTTTTCATCTTGCGCTTGTCGATTCATAGTCTGTCAATGGGTTACATTGACCCGATGGAGTTTGCTAGTTTAGGATTGCTAGCTGTTGCATTTGTTAGCATATCTTCACCTGATGACGAGATGAGGAAAATGGGTTATGAGGCTGTTGGAAGATTTAAGACTGCGCTAGAGGTAATGATTCCTTTCATCATGATTGGCATTTGTGGGGCACATTAAAATGGTGTAACAAGTTTGCTGTCTATTTTTAAGAGCTTATCGTGTGTTTAATGCTAGTAAGTAAAATGGGAGTTCTGCATTAGGTTTGGTGTGAGAGTAAAACACTTGTAGTGAAGTGGGTCAAAGTTTTGGAATTTGGTGGACTAATCTATACAGATACACACACACACACATGTAGTGCAGATTGCAGTATGTCTGAAAATTTTCTGATGAACAATGCACAAGGAACAAAGCTTGAACTTAAATTTGTCCTACGAAAAGGTTATCATCCAGTTTAATTCCCTTTGCCAAGGGTGCTGGGATTTGTGGATTGTTTATGTACCTAATCTTTGGCATTATACACAGAAAGAGGCTTAACTCATCTATAGGAGATAAACTTAAAAAGAGATTTGACTTAGGTGGTTTGGACACACTATAGATGGCCTGCTACAGGACCGTTGAGAAAGTGTGATATGATAGTTAGAGCACAATGATGAAACATGATTAGTGTAGCTGACCTAAAAATAATTGGGAAAAGACTTTGTTGAGTTGAGTATTTGTAGAAACAGGCTGCCCAAATCTATGATACAGAAGGCCTAAATTGATTTATTTAGGTGCAACAAGATGATTTATTAGTTTGTATAAAGGTTGTTTGTTGTTTGCAAGCAACTTACTAAATTTTCAGATAACTGAATTTGAAGCATGTTACTTTTGTTACAGAAGTGGCAAAAGAGGAAGGATGTAATTCGACTTCGGCTTTTGTTGACATATTTGCAAAATGGTATTGAAGAGCCATGGCAGAGGATTCCTTCCATAATTGCTATATTTGTTGCAGAGGCTTCTCTGATTTTGTTGGATCCTTCGCATGAACATTATTCATCCATAAGTAAACTTCTGATGTGCTCACCGAAGTCAAATATGAAGGTGTGTAATCCCTCATTACAATTTCGTTAGTATGTGCTTTATATTATAAACATCTGTAATAAAGTTGTAAATAACTAACCAATCTGGTAAATGTTTGTTAATATTGCTGTCATATCAGTCAAAACCTTAGTATTATCACTGATTCTATGAGCTTCAATAGGTTCTTATATACTCTTGTGAATTGACTTGCAGTCTATACCATTATTCCAAGATTTTTTCTGGAGTAGCTCTGTTAATTTCAAAACGGACAGGTTGTGGATGTTTCGTCTCTTATACGTTGGGCTGAATTCAGATGATGATGCNGTATTGATGAAATGGATTTCCTTTGGGGAAGTGCTGCTATAAACATTAGAAAGGAACGGGAAAAAGAGCAAGATATGTCTTGTGATAAAATTAATGATATTGAAGCAGCCANTTCCTTCCATAATTGCTATATTTGTTGCAGAGGCTTCTCTGATTTTGTTGGATCCTTCGCATGAACATTATTCATCCATAAGTAAACTTCTGATGTGCTCACCGAAGTCAAATATGAAGGTGTGTAATCCCTCATTACAATTTCGTTAGTATGTGCTTTATATTATAAACATCTGTAATAAAGTTGTAAATAATTAACCAATCTGGTAAATGTTTGTTAANGAGAAAATCTTCCCATTAACCCGAAATTGTGTGCATATACAGTGCTTTGTTTTCCTTATTATAGAACCGTTGGTGAGGGAATTTTATCCTCGAACAAGCTTCACCAAGATAATTCTGAGCACATGGTTGAGGTACAAACTACTGTATAACTGTTCAGCTACTGTTTTTATTGGGCGTTTATTACGATTTATGTCCCAAGCTGGATTCTTTAGTACTAAATTCAAATTATTCTATGCAGGCACGTTCTGCTACTGCAAGTTCTGCAAATGTTGAGAAGATACAAATATATGATCCTGTTTTCATCTTGCGCTTGTCGATTCATAGTCTGTCAATGGGTTACATTGACCCGATGGAGTTTGCTAGTTTAGGATTGCTAGCTGTTGCATTTNGTATTTTTCATCCCTTTGTTTGAATGAAACAATTTTAGTTTGGCATGTTCTTTCTTCCAAGATTTTAAGGTCCTGATATTGTTCTTGATTCTTGAAACTGTTGATGGTCTAGTTTATTTTTTCTAGTGAAAGACGAACTCTTTTTTTGTTTGGTTTTTTGATAGTATGAAAAGCTCGTGTCTCCATTGACTTTGGTTTCGTAAGGAGNGCGCTAGAGGTAATGATTCCTTTCATCATGATTGGCATTTGTGGGGCACATTAAAATGGTGTAACAAGTTTGCTGTCTATTTTTAAGAGCTTATCGTGTGTTTAATGCTAGNATGATGCTCAAATTTTTATAAGGAACTCCATTCTTGAGGTTGCCTTGAGTTTCTATGCTTCGCCTCTTTCAGATAATGAGTCAAAGGAATTGATTCTTCAGGTATTATATAGGCTATCCTTTGTGCTTCTTCTGGTAAGGTTTTTGAGGCTTAAATTAAACACTTGGACTAAATTACATTATATNCTTCACTAATTATACCTTTTGGTAAGGATGAGGATAATTGTCAGAAGTTTGAATTGCATTCTTTTTTATAAGGATGATCCTTAGTGCTTAACCACTTGCTCTTATTATGTGACTGAAACGAGTTATATGTTNTTTTTTTTTTTTTTTGGGGGGGAGACCCAAATTAAGCTATATTATAAATTTGTTGTTCTCTAATGTTGCTGTTACTGATGTTGATTATGGATAGAACTGGTTTTTGGTTTGATAATGTGGTTTTGCTTGGTTGGTTGTTGGGAAAGTTGGACACTTTATTCTCACTTTTCATTTTTGATTACCTTCCGATATTTTTCATTTTTTNGGTTATCATCTGTTGTTTTATTCCTTTGTGAGAAGCTGTACCAAGATCAGAGGATGTACTCTTTGACTCAGTTAACCATGCTGCTGGAGGTAATTTATTTTCTTACTTAGGAATAACCTTTGTTGTTGTTTTGTAAAATGTCGGTGCATTTCTTTACATCTGTGTGGCTCCCTCCTGACCTCATCCTCCCCCCTTTCCGCCTCTTCTTTGATGTTCGGGTGGGGATTTGTACTCCTTGATCAGCAAACAGTATGACTGAATATTTCCACCGTGGGGCATCTTGCTGAATTGCGGTGGGTCGGAATATTGCTGGAAAATTGGGAAATAAGTTTCTTTACATTANGGGGGGGGGGGGGGGGGGGGGGGGGGGGTGTGCAACGTCCATTGTTTGGTTTGTTAGGAACGTTTAGTGATCTGTTTCTTCAGGGCCCTGCACATATTGATGTTTTTGCTTAAGGNATCTTGCTGAATTGCGGTGGGTCGGAATATTGCTGGAAAATTGGGAAATAAGTTTCTGTACATTAAGAACATGAGATAACTTTGGAAGATGGAGACTTAAAAAAAAATGCTAGTTGGGTTGACTCAAGACTGTGGCTCAGTTTTTGGTTTCTGCACAAGCACTCAATTGACATGGACTCATGTATGTTGTATTAGATGAGTATGGTTGCTGCTAATGTGGTGCAGGAANTTCTCTTACATTTGTGTTGTTTTCTGGAGAATATAGTGGTCATCTCCTTCATTAGTATTTCTCTGGTATTTTTCATCCCTTTGTTTGAATGAAACAATTTTAGTTTGGCATGTTCTTTCTTCCAAGATTTTAAGGTCCTGATATTGTTCTTGATTCTTGAAACTGTTGNCATAATTCAGGATGAAGTCAATAAAAAACAATTACAACCAAAAGAGCAAAAAGGATTGTAACACTTCCAACGCAATCTATTCTCTCATTCAATAATCAAGTCTTCTCTAACCCATAAGAACCTAAATAACCGATACCAAAAATCAGAAAATAATAGTCTTTAAATCCTAAATTATTCAACAAATACTTGCCCAAAAAAATAAATTATTAAATAAATTCAGTAAAAACTGTGACTTATAAAATAATGCTAGAACAATTTCCTAAAAACCCTAATCTTGAATTTAAGTTTCATTTAGTTCTTTTCAGATCCACTTTATGATCACTGTCAAAAGTCATCATATGACTGTCTTCTATAAGATGTGCAAACCATTTAAGTGGATTATTTCTTAATTATCTCCTATTGGTGATATCTCTAGTTGTACTATGTATCCATCTTAACATTTGCATTTCAACCACATTGAGTTTCTAAGTATGTTGCTTCTTAGTTGCCGTCGAACTTACATTTCAGCCCAAGGGATATATGTCACTCGCCTAATACACTAGATGCACTTCTATACTTAACCTATTATGGACAATTGACCCCAAATATAGAAAGTGTTTCTTTTTGGTATAGCTTAATCTTCTCTCTTTGCTGTCTCCCCATTTCAATATTTATATTTTTATGAATGTTACGTTTCATATATTGAGGATTGGTTCTACGTATTTTGAATCATCTTGATGCCAAAGTTTATCTCTAATTTTTAAATTTATTGTTAGTTCCTAGTTTAGTTTCATTAATCACTACTATATCATCAACAAATAAAATACGCCTTGGAAACGGGACTACCATGGCCCCATGTTTTGATTGGATAATCATAGTTATGTTAAGATAGTGTTGCGACACAAAGAAACCTTTTTTTTTTTTGGTCTGCAATTTCTTGATTGGACACCAAAACTGGTTATTCTGTCATGCTTTATAATTAGTGAATGGCATATAAAAGAAAGAAATTTCTATTTTTGTTATGTTATTTTGTTCCAATCCGCATTATGCGAGGGATCTTCAACTAATATATTTAAATTGAGCTTTGCATTCTGCCAAAAAGTAGAAAAATTATGAAAAAAAACCTTTATTTGTTCTAAGCTCTAGTTGCACATGCTGTGTTTCTTTAGTCGTTCTAGGAACTATACCTTACAGGGACAAAATTATTGGAGAGCCTTGCATTAGAATTAAGATAAACTATGTTTTTAAAGGATTTAGCCACTATTTTTGTTTAATTTTTATTTTTAGATCTCTATGTTACTGGACAAATAGATGTTGATTGCTGACATATTATTCTCCTAACTTGTGTTGTTGTTGTGATTTAGGTAGTCAATGATGTTATATCTTTTAGAAATGGTGATGAGTGGTTTCAAACATTTGCCCTTGAGCAGCTTGCTGAACTTTCATCTCATCTATACAAAATTTTAGTTGGCGACATCAAGGTGATAAAAGACAATGTTCCCATAATTAATTCAATCCTTCAAGTACTGACGTCAACATTGAGAATATCACAAAAGAGGACTGTATATCAGCCACATTTTACCCTGTCAGTTGAAGGTTTGTTTGAAATATGTGAAGCGGTTAATGCATGTGGTAGTGGAAGGTATTGTCCCACTATGGAATTTGGACTTGAAGCTGTACTTATGAGCTCTCCTCCTGTGGATATTTTCTGCATGGTATCTCTCTTTTCACCTCTACCCCCTCTCTTCCCATGATGAATGTGCTTGTCTGTGCATGTGTGATTGAGCATGGCTAACGAGTTTTCATGAGTTTTGTATAGTGTGTCAAACTTTTTGTTAATTGTATATGCATAATAACTGGTGACATTAGTTGTTCTGCATCTTCTAGAAGGGTTGTGCCCATCACATTTTTGGCTAAGTTGATGGCCAAATCTATTGTTTTGTTGAACCCAAATTAGTGCTCTTTTTTACGATTTATTTCATAATTTTGCCGAATTAGTTCCTTATCACGTTATTATTGGATACCGAAAATTTTCATGTGCTTACAGGATCGAGAAAAGCTTCTAAAGTTTGTTACATGGGCAATTTCAAGTGCTGTACAATCAACCTCAACAAAAAGGCTTCAGGCCAAAGGATCTTATCAAAATTTTACAATTTTCTTGGAGGAAAAAGAATCTGAAGATTCTTTTGTATCAAAGCTTTTACGTTGGCTAACTGCTTCAATAATCCGTGGAAGGCTTTCAAAAGAATTGAATATGTATGACTCCAGTAGTCTTTTTGCAAGATCAAACCTGCAGACGTTGCAATCTTTACTTGAACACAATGGGAAAGGATGTCGCGAAAACAAGTCTTGGTTTGACTCTGAAGATATATTAGCTGCTGCAGTTTTTTACCTCCAACAGTATATTGGCATGAACTGCCGAGTGCTTCCTTCTGCTGTTTCTGCACTTAGTCTCCTACTTTTTCCAGCTACCTCCCTTTCAGGTCCACTCTATCTTATGGTCTTATGGACAATTAATTTATTTTGGTGATATACACAAGAGCCACACGTAGTCCAAGCAATTAATTTGATTTTACTTTTATGTAGTTTTTTCTGGTTCAAAATGACATTGAATTTCTCTTATATGGAGACATTGCTTTGTTATTGTTTCTACAACATAGTCAATTTTTTACCTTACTAATGAAATGGCTAATTATCGCATAACACTTTCATCATTACACATTTGTTTTGCGCTGTCCCCACCTTAAAGGGATGCCCTGCTTGCACAAAGGAAAAAAGTGCTTGTTCTGCCTCTGGATATTGGGAACCCTTGGAGGCCAAGTCAAGTTGAAAGTCAATTTAGAATAATGGAAAATTAATTTGAGAATCGTGAGTGTCACTTTTGTCTATGGATCTTTATTTCTTGAAGCCTAAAGGTATTACTCTCTTTTTAGATATTATATAGTAACTATATATTCAAAAATATGATTCGAAGGCCAGTCTTTCCCTGTTGGATNGTATTACTCTCTTTTTAGATATTATATAGTAACTATATATTCAAAAATATGATTCGAAGGCCAGTCTTTTCCTGTTGGATTTTTTTTGACTTTTCAACTTCTTGTGAATTGTAAGCAATCAATGTCAAAGCCTTTAGGTATTTCTCTCATTCTTTGACTTTTCAACTTCTTGGGGATCTTAAGCAATTCATTGTCTAATTACAAAGAAGGAATTTGCTGTCTCCTTTGTTGAAGCTTTGTTATTTATCTTGATGTTGTGCAGAAGCAGACAACCGGCTTGGCCATGGGAGTCATTTGATGTCGCTGTGGTCGAGGATTCATTTTCCTGCTGAAGCTAATCCTGCTTGGCGATGGTAATATGTTTGCTCTTCTCCACATTTTATTTGTTTTTTGAATTCTACTATCAATTCGGTCCAGAAAAGGATATGCATAAATATCTCTACCATCGAACATGCAGGTATCATATGTTTGATCATTACTGTGCTGAATAAAGGATAATTTCCATAGCAGTTGAACCAATATCTGTATTGCCTCGAAGTCTTGATATGCTGCAATGAGATAATTATCTCAATAACTAAATCATAATGACCAGCAGTAGTGAATTTAAGTCAGCTATACTTGCAGAATAAAATTCATGTTAGGAGCAAAATTAAAAGGAACACCTTGTACAGTGGTGATATTGGATGAAAATATAAAATTAACCAAACTCCAAAGTCATTGTTCATTCGAGCAAAGACAATTTAATTTCTAAGAGAGCGAGTTTGGATGCAACGATAAGATTGCTCTATTGTGATCTAAGCATCATGAATTCGAGTCATGGAAAGCTTGGACCCCACAGTGGTGGGAGTCTTGGGCATTGGGCTGCCCGTTGTTTTTATTTTAAGGTTTATAAAAGACAAGTATATTTTTTCGATTTATTTTTCACGTTCTAGAGATGGACCTCAATCTGCCAGGGCGATCTGATGATTGTGACTAGTCATTTTTTCAGTCTGGCCTGAGGAGACCTCTGAGTAGCTTTTGAGAGGGATTTTTTAATTTGGAAGTAGATTCGGGAAGAAATTTATTAGGTTTAGCTGGTATTTGGCTCAATTTCAGATAATATATATGATTTTTTTGTTCTGTGATTTTATCTAGAATTCTATACAATTACTTTTAACACCAATAACAGACACTTACAGATGCTCACAAAAAAACTGAAAGAAAGCAGAAAAAAAGAAGTTGCTATAGCTGCTGAGGTTTATTTGAGAAATTCGGCTGGACTTGGGCTTAAAAATTTGAAGTCCCAACTCCGTGCCTTGTAGCTACTTCTCTGCTGCCATGTCACGCTCACTGTCCTTGTCAAACTGAAGCCCTTTTATTCCTTCATTTGTACAGGTCATTTTACCGGCCATGGAAGGATCTTGCTTTTGAACGTACCGTTGCAGAGAAGATGGATGAAACNACTGTCCTTGTCAAACTGAAGCCCTTTTATTCCTTCATTTGTACAGGTCATTTTACCAGCCATGGAAGGATCTTGCTTTTGAACGTACCGTTGCAGAGAAGATGGATGAAATCCATGCCTGTCAAACTCTTCTGGTGGTAATTTCGAATGTGCTCGGAAAGAAATCTTTAGATTCACTAGTTCTATCTCATGTAGATGTGGAAAATACTGGGGTGTTCAAATGGGAAAGAAGTTTGCTTGAAAACTTGAATGATCTCTTTGGTTAATTCAATCCATCTTTATTTCAATCTATTGGTCTTCCCATTAGTTTGATTTATGTATGTTTCTTAACGTTTATTTTTTCCTTGAAACGGATTTGGTTCGTCTTGCAAAGGAGGAAAGGGGGACAGATTTTGTATGCATCGTTTCCGGACTTGAAAACCATTGCAAAAAGGGCCGTTGTCTATCAGCGTCATGAAGCATAGGGGAACTACTGGTTGATAATTGGGTAAATTGGCTATGCAGATGTATATATATACTATGTTGCTTCTTTCTGCCTTTCTTCAACTGGATTTATAATTTGACAGAAGAAAACAATCGTATTCTTCTTGAAATTATGCACCACCTCTCCTCCTTAGGCCCGAGCTTGGTTTGTTTATAAAAATTTTACTTGGTGGAAAAATAAGAACAAAAAAAAAAAAACACTCTTAGCTTTGTGTTAAAGATATTTAAAGTTTCATTGGTCATGTGTGTTTCGGACTTGCTCCGAGTCTATCAGGGCTTTGAACTTAAATTTCAGCTCACACAGTGTGAAACATCAGTTAAATTGAATCAAACTTGAGGATATGGGCCAGAAATGAAGCCGAGTTTGACTAAGAAATCTAAATTGACAGTTGATGTAGAGCCTAAGAGGCTAAGACAGTTCGCTCGTGCTTAGCCCGGAGCATACTAAAGATCAAAAAGCTCGGCTGGACTCAAACACGATTCGATTAGATTGACATCTCTAGCTTGCATGTTGGGTTAACATAGTAAGACCAAAAAAAGCAAGTCTCAAAATCCCAATTGAAACTATGCCATATCGTACTTGGGATGTGCAATGGGAAAAGCTAATACAGAGGGAATGTTTGGCAACGGGACCTCTAAGCCCCACCATGTCCCTTCTGTGTTCCTGAATTTGTTATTTGTCTCGTAAATTTGGGTCATGACTGGTTAACCTGTAAATAAATAATCAAAATACATTATTGTCAACACCACACGGCACCACCGCCATAACCACCGTTGCAGCCGGCACCACTCCAAAAGTTCTTTTAGACCCTATGAGTTCCAGGAATTGTATTTCTTTGTAGCAAATGTTGTAGCATATGCAGTGAGTGCAGTAGCGTGGTGGGTCTTATGCAAAAACGAAAGGAAGACTGTCATCAAGAATATAGACCTTAAAAAATAATAATATTTATAATTGGAGCTTAAACTAAAATAAAACAAGTTTTTATATAATTGCCACGCATGAATTTTGTAGTCACACTACCGTACGAAACCAATGGATTTTCTGCGAAGTTTAAAATAAAACCGTGTAATTGTTAATTCAGTGGGTCATATGGCTGCACAGTTTTTTATGCACCAAATAGATGGAGTAACCTTGTTTCTATGTGGGTTCCCGGGAAAAAAAACCTTGTTATATATGATCTGTTATGGAGTCATCTGAAAAATCCTAGAAGGGACAATCGGCGCCGGAGAAGATGACGGAACAGACGAGGGTTTGAGACCAATTCAAAAGGGCATTTCTGCATGTGAACCCTACAGTATAGAATATATTGGACTTCAAGTTCGAGTTTTTTTTTTTTTTTGAACGATCAAGTTCTAGTTGGAACTTGCCTGGATCAAGTTCTAGTTGGAACATACCCGGGTTGACTTGAGAACCACTTATTTTGTCTTTTTTTGACTTTCTTCTTCCACCTGCCATCACCGCCGCCGCCACCAAACTGAATTTTAGTACACCACCATGGCACCACCAGCATCGGTACCACTGAATTATCCACCGCCGCCGCCACCACCTCCTGAATTGTAGTATACCATCATGACACCACCACCGCTGAGCTATTGTTTTTTGACCATTTTGTTACTGAGCCGCAGTTGGTGATCTAACTACATCAGGAAGATCAGCTAAGCAATCTCTATATATGAAGAGCTTTGAGGGTGGCAGAAAGTAGGAGGTTTTCAATTTTGTGACCCAAACACAATGATAACTGGCCTAGTTGCAAAACAGATATTCTATCAAACAAACACAACACACTTCGAAGTACACTAAATATTGATTACAATGTTTGGAACAGATCAGAAGAAGAGAGAACATTTTTGGAAGAGACTCAAGTACAACACCACTATCAATTCATATGTATAGTTGCTTTCATTCTCGTCATTGTGCATAAAAAAGGACACCGAACTGTAGTTTGTTGGCCTGCTTCTTCCACTGAATTTTCCAGCACCAGCACCACCCCCAACCTATTGTTTAAGGTCAAAAATTAACAGAGAGAGGAGAAAACAAGTAAAACAGAAAGACTCCAAAGGCGATAGAACAAACAACACATAACCTCCTCTGATAAGTAGTACATATCGAAGTTCAGCCGATGTATATGGTCACACCAAAGAGCCGGATGCTATGGCGTTCAAGCTCCATGAAATACCCATCTCCATTCGTCCACCGATAGAATCGGAGTATGTCATCGGGCCCAAGTTCCTTCTTCTTTGTAAAATCAATCCACTGGTATGTCATCAAGCGCCGACCGTTGCTCCTTGTTGAACATTTAAACTCCCAGGTGGTGTCTCCATTTGGGTCCAGTACATGCATGATGGCATTTCCAGGAGGCAAGTCAAGAGCCCCATTTGGTATCTCCAGATTTCGTGAAATGTCATTTGATGAGAGTTTCTTTTCAAAACAGAATGTATAGCCTGCCATTGTCCAAGTTCCAAACCTAAAACACAGCAAAACCAAATCATTCTTAGTATAATAGAGTAATACTACTAGATCCGCAAAACCGAGCACAAAAGATTTTGGAAAACGAAACATTAGAAACACTTGACAAGTGTGAAAGAGAGTTCAAGGAGAGGACCTTGTTCTCTGAGTATGTTGAGCTTGAGGAATGATGTGCTCTGTTGCCTTTTATAGAAAGCGAGGGAGACGGAAAAGATCACCGTTTTTTGAATATGAGGTCGATGAAAGAGCTCCCTTTGGTTTTACTGCACCCTTTTATGTGCACAGTACGGGTGTGTGTGTTGAAATATTTATATGCTAAAGTACCTGCATTTAAAGTGTCGCTTTTCATCATTTAAAGTGTTGGTGGTAATTGTCGTATGTTAGAACAAAAAAGTCAGAATTTTGTTGCACATTGTTGTATGCCCACGTGAAAGATAAGAGGTTTATTGCATCGGAGGTCCTAATATTTTAATTATGTTTTGATCTCTAATATTTTAATTATGTTATTTTAGTCCATAATATTTTAATTATATTATTATTTTGGTCCTTAAAATATTGAATATGTTTTTATATGGTCTCTCAAGCAGACATCATCCAGATTACAAACGATTTTTTATTATAAACTTGTCACGTGATACTTAAATATAGATAAAATAATAATTTGAATAATTCTTGACTAAATTTTTACTCAAATTTTGGTTAAATAATTACCCAAATTACACAATTTTGATTATGTGTTATCCAAATTTTGGTCAAAAGCTACCCATATAACACATTTTTGTCAAGAGCTATCCAAATTTTGTTTAAGAGATATCAAAATTATTTTTTGTTCATATTTAAGTATTACGTGACAAGTTTATAATAAAAAATATTAGCAATCTAGATATTATCTGCTTGAACAACCATATAGAAACATATTTAATATTTCAGGGACCAAAATAATATAATTGAAACATTAAAGATCAAAATAAGAAAAATCACATACTTTGAGAAATTAACCCAAAATAATGTTGAACTGACACAGCTGCATTGGAAAAAAGATGGTAGTCGTTAGAATCAAATTCTCAACCTTCATTTAAATTGTCCACCTTCAAATTAATGTTGAACTGACATTCTGCCTTCATTTAATCTAATTCTCAACCTTCATTTAAATTGTCCGCCTTTATTTAAAGTGTCCACCTTCACCATTCTGCCTTCATTTCTTTCCTGCTTTCCTGCTTGTTGATCAAAGCAATCAATATGTTGTCCCCGTATACTAGTGAAGGCACACCACAGAATAATAAATTCTTTTTATGAGAAATAACACGAATCATTGGTGCACTAGATGACCAATCAATAAGATATACATATTGGGTCTTGATAGAGTTTTTATGGGTAATAAAAAATGAGAATTCTTCTAAGTCTGTCTTGTTTAAACTAGAGATAGATTATACGTATTGGACGATAAACATATACGAAAATATTGATTTTGCTTATACCATTTGAACATTTTAGATATGGTGAATTCTACTTTGAATTTTTTAGCAATCCGAAGTGTGTGTTTTTAGGATTTTGTAGGTGTTCTTAATTTTTTTATAATTAGGATTTTTTTTTTCATTGCTGTTCGATTAGGTGCAAAGTGACTGAATATTTTTTATGCAACTATTATAGTTTTTTTTTATGTTTTATTTTTTTGATTAAATTATCACCATGAAGTTAGATGGAAATTTTTTTTACATGAAACCAGTTATGTTGTATTATATTGGATATTGTTGTAGACAAGTTTTTAATTATATTATGATATTGTATAATTATGTTGGATTATGTTGAGCCTGGGCATGGGTGGGGGCGGGTGGCAGGGGTGAAGGTGGGTGGCGAGACGAGGGGACGGGGACGAAGATAAAAATTAGTCTCATTAGCGGAAGTAGACTGAGGATGAATAGACTTTTTTTAATAAGCAATGCGGGTAGAGACTACTCCCCCACGCCCGCTCACTGCCATACCTACTCTCATTCGATCAATCGTCCTCCATTGAGAAAGTTGACACTCCTCAGAAAACTAACGAACCTAGTTCAGGTGTTTGAGGAAGTTGTCAATCAAGATGAGAAAAAACTTGGGTGCTGAGAAGCCAATGGGCATGTTTTTGAAAAGGAAGTTTTACTGTGCCAAACTAACAAAACCTCATGATGTCGTTTTTCTGTAACAAGTAACAACAGAGGAGCTGTTTCCCGTGTCGTTTATTTGCATTGTCATGTTGATCCATGTGAAAATCTATTCTATTTGCATTGCTTTGATCGGTGTTGGGTAGAAATTAAAGCATGATGATGTATGTAGATGAGTTAGTCCATACGTTTCTCTTAGAAAAACAATTATTTGAACCTAATTTATTAATTTTAAGATTAACAACACTTTTAGTCCTTAAAATATATATTTTTTGTCAATTTAGTTCTCAATGTATCAATTTGACCTATAAAGTATTCAATTCGTATTATTTTGATCTTCACATAGCCAGACCGTTAAGTTTTTGATAGAAGGATCATGTGTTAGACACGTGATGATGTCTAAAAAAATAACACGTGATCATTTCCGTCAAAAAACTTAATAATCTGTCTTTATGGGAATCAAAATAACACGAATTGAATATTGTAAGGATCAAATTAATACATTAAAGACTAAATTGACAAAGAATTCATAATTTCAGAACTAAAAATACTATTAATCCTTAATTTTGTTTATTGATCTAATACATTTTAGTTATTGAATTAATAATAGGTCTCAATTAATATTAGGGTTCATTATCAATTTAATAATATAATAATGATTAAATCAACAAATTATATTCAAGTAGAATTTTTTTTTTTAATGCTAAAGATCGCCTCCTTTCCTAAGATTCTTAGATATAGAAAATCTTGGAGTCACAATAATCTTAAGATGCACCCCACTGGTGCTTTAATATTTTCGAAGTGTAAAAGCCTATAAAGTAATATTAGGGATCGTCCCCATGTATCATCCCTTTAAAGTACGTAGCTTAAACTTATTCGTTATTAAATTTAGGGTTAATTGTAATTTGCATCCCAAAAGAGTACTCAAATTTTAATTTTTACTCTCATAGTTTAAAAATATCAATTTATACTCTCATGCATCATCCATTTAAGGTACATAGCTTAATCTTATTCGTTATTAAATTTAGGGTTAATTGTAATTTACATCTCAAAAGACTACTCGAATCTTAATTTACACTTTTAAAGTTTAAAAATATCAATTTATACCCGCATGCATCATCCATTTAAGGCATATAGCTTAAACTTATTCGTTATTAAATTTAAGGTTAATTGTAATTTGTACCCTAAAAGATTATTCGAATCTTAATTTACACTCTTAAAGTTTAAAAATATCAATTTATACCATAAAAAGACATAAATTTATATCAATGTGCACCTGGCGTTAACTACTGTCCATTTTGCCGTTAAAAAAGTTTGAATTAATTATAAATTGTACCCTCAAAGTTTAAATATTTCACATTTATGATCCAAAAATAATTTCATCCATTAATGCTCGTTAAATAAATTTCAATTGTGTCGTTTTGTAATATTTTCGTATCGTGTTCGAGTCAATAAAAAAATATTTTTAAATAATTTTTAAAAAATTATAAAATACCTATTGTTGTCTACAATACTCATAAAATAATTATTTTTTGTCTATAGTATCCGTTAAGTCATATTATTCGTATCTAATTTTAATTTTATCGGATAGTCAAAAGATTCGTGTCAAACTTTAGACAGAAAATAGTTATTTAACGAATATTATAGGTAAAAAAATTAGTATTTTATAATTTAAATAATATTATATGAATTGTCTTAAATGTGAAATATACGATACAATACAATCGATTTGACACGAAAATATTATTTTGTGTTACATTTTTTTCTGTACTAACTCGTATACGACACAAAAATTATACGACAAGACACAAAATGATACGACACAAAAATGTTACAATACGACACAATTGAGAGGTATTTAACAATATTAATGGATGCAATTCTTTTTAGATCATAAATGTGAAATATTTAAACTTTGCAGGTGCAATTTACAATTAACCCAAATTTTTTTAGCGACAAAATGAACGTCAGTTAGCCCAGGTACATACTGATAGGAACTTATGTCTTTTGGGGTATAAATTAATATTTTAAACTTTGAGGGTACAAATTGATNCCCCCCTCTTTTTTTTCTTAAAGTCCATTTCCCCCCCCCCTCTTTTTTTTCTTAAAATACCATTAATAGATTGTTTTAACTAAAGGTGTTCACCCTACCCTACGGGTAGAAAATATAATCTTCCTACCTGATATTTTGCGGAAGAAATTTTTTTAACCTACCCTACTCGATCAAGTATGGTATTCCTACCCGACTTTCTACCTGATTAATGAGGTGAGAAACCGGATAAACACTTTTATAGTTATTAATTTTTGTATCATTTTAATAATTCAATTAAATAACATGCACTAATTTAACAATATAATAAATCAATAACACTAAAACTTAAAACAACTACAATAATAATTACAATAAAACACTAGAAACTATGAATATCAATCCATCATAATTGTTAAACAAATACAATAACAATTATTTTAAGTTTAAATCATATGAAACACATTAAAATCATAACTCCAATAGATCACCAGTATATTACAAATTATGTAATCTACACAAAAAATAAGTCCATGTTTTAGCAACTCAAATATCCATAATAATAACAATGTTATAATATAAATTATACCATACAAATACTCTTATAATTACTAAAAAAATATATAAAAAGTTAAATATATATTTTGCGGATAGAGTAGGACAGGAATTCGAAAATTGATGGGTATTCTTCATTCTTACCTGATTTAATCGAAAGACCAAAAACTCTTCTACATTCCTATTCAATTTTTGCGGCTAGCCGTTCAATAGGGTGAGATAATATCGAATAGGATAAGAAATTACGGTCAATCGAAAATTTAAACACTTCTAATTTTAACGTTGAAAGAAATTTTTAAATTGATTTGGATATTATAATTCCATAACTGACGACAATTTTTATTTCTTCCCAATTTTAGATATGAAATTCAAAATTGCTTCTTCTTCATTCAAAGGTCAATTTTCCCTTTGCTGATTTTTATAAATTTTGTATTTCAAACTGATCTCCTTCAGTATTTCTTTCTTGTAGATAGGCATAACTAATGTTCTTTCGCCATTAACAAAGCGTAGTCAAGCTTGATGTTTATGGGATCAGAGGACCATGGGAAAGAGGTATACACATCTAGGAAGAAGAATGACTTGATCCTGTTCAAGAATTGCAACAA